GGGGGGGGGGGGGGGGGGGGGGAAGGGGGGCATACACGTCAATGCATCAGTGAGGAGGTGCGTGGATTTTCGCTTCGGCCGCCTTTGGCCGTCTTGCCATCGATCGCGCGAGCAGCTCAGCCGATCGGCGTGCCTGCTGATTGCATCCTGCATCTCGCGTTCGCTCTCTCCCGCGTTACAGCCCAATCTGACAGGTAATTACATAATCGCGCGACTCCACTTCTTGAGGCCTGTGCCATGCTCATCATGCGTTTCTTCCAGCAACCATCTGGACGCTTCTGAACGCAGCAACAATGTTGAGCCGAGCAATTGGCATTCCCACCGCAAGCCTTCGGGGTGCTCGGAGCTTCAGTGCCTCGACACGCACAGCCAAGGTGTACGAGAACGTGGATGCGGCGACATTCAACGCGCGTGTGCTCCAACCCTCCGGTGCAGAGGCCGACGTGCCCGTGCTCGTCGACTTCTTCGCAACCTGGTGCCAGCCCTGCAAACTGCTCTCCCCCGCCCTCAAAAAGGTCGCCACCCAGAAAGACCTCGTGGGCAAGCAAGTCGATCTGGTAACCATCGATGTCGACCAACACCAAGACATCGCCCAACAGTTCAAAGTTCGTTCCCCATTCCCCCAGATGGAGTAAAGAGAAAGAGGATCGCTGATACCGTGGTTGCCTGCAGGTCTCGGCTATGCCTACCGTCATCGCAATGAAAAACGGTAAAGTATGTCAAATCCCTACCACCTCACACCAAAGAAACTAGGGTCTGTACTGACAAGGTGGTACACAGGTGCTCGACGGATTCGTGGGCATGCTGCCCGAGAAGAAAGTCATCGAGTTCGTCCAGAAGCTCAACTAAGTCTGCTACGTCCAGAAGCTCAACCAAGTCTGCTACGTCCAGAAGAAATTGCAAGATGCGGTGCGAAAACAAAAGACTACAAACAAAACACTGTGACAGCGGGAATCCTACGACGCGAGGTACGGACTGATGCTCATGGCCTCGACCTGTGAGACGAACGACGAGCTGTTGGCATCGTCATCCTCCTCGTCATTGCCAGCGCGTGCACGCGATCCAGGGATTTCTACACCCCCACCGCGCTCGTTGCGACGCACATCGTCGGCCTCATCATCGTCTTCCTCCTCGGACGAGTCGGCGCCGTCCTCGTCCGGCGCCACGTCCGCCCACTCGCGGTACAGCGGCTCGATGAACGACGCCGACGACTCGAGCTTGTACGGGTCAAAGGGGAAGAACGACTCGAGCACCGACGCTGTCGTCACGCTCGCCGCCGGTCGCTTCGCCTCCTTCTGCGGCGAAGACGCCCCCTCGGGCCGTGGCGTGCCGCGCTCGCTGCCGTCCTGGCTCATCGGTGTCGCCGACCCCGACGATTCCAGCTGCAGCCGGTTGAGCGACGTCGATCGCGATACCGGATTGCTGCGGTTGCTACGAACCGATCGGTGGTTCGCCTCGATGATCGAGTAGCAGTACAGAAAGCCCGTGTGCTGTGCGATGCGCGCAAACTGCTTCACCACGTTCGCCGAGCAGTACTTGAGCGGGTTCAGGCGCGACGTGACCGCGCGCTGCAGCGACGTCAGTCCATCGCACCACGACTCGGCACCCAGCTGCGCCAGACTGCCCACACTGCTGTGCATCCCACCGCCGATCTCGTCGGCGTCCTGGTAGTCCATATCGCCCACACCGCCCTCGTGCTCGTCGTGGCTGATCTTGAGGTCGCGCCAGCGGAAGCAGAAGATGTAGAACGCCGCCTGCACCACCGAGTAGAACACGGCATGCGCACTCGCCCCCGGCGGCGCCGCACCCGCCTCGGTATCGCTTCGGCTGCTCTCGTCGATGTGCGCATCCATGAACGCGCACAGGTTGTACAGCACCACGCGTGTCGTGGCGCCATCCACGTACGACGCACGACTCACAAAGCTCGCCACATACCCCGCCGCCGCCGACCGGATCACCGCCGGCTCCTCCTTGTCGCTCAGCGCCACGCGCCGGCTGTACAGACTCTTCTCGAGCAGCACGCCAAGGAAATAGTCGGAGAACTCGGCGTCGAGCGAGTTGAACCAGAACAGCAGGAACTGCACGTGGCGCGAGCGGAACGTCGGCAGGATGTTGCGCGCAAAGATCGAGAGCATCGTGTGGAACAGGTTGCGCCGGTTCGTGTCGGCGTCCATGGGGCTCGCGCTGGTAGCGAGGAAGCTGAGGCTGTTGGCGCCAGCGACGTACTGCGCATCCAGCTTGCGCAGATGCTCAAAGAGCGCGATCATGATCGCGTCGAGCTTGGCCACCGACTCGCGGATGCGCCGCATGGAGCGCTGCAGATCCTCCTGCGTGCGCTTCTGCTCCTCGGTGGCGATGCCCTGATCGTAGTTCTCGTCGGAAAGGTCAGAGAGGTTGTCGGCAAAGTCGCCGTCGTCGCTATCATCGTCGTCGTCGTCGGAGCTCTCGCCGTCCTCGATGTCGTCGAGCGCCTGCTCAAAGGGGTCCTCAAAGTCGAGACCGAGCTCCTCGGCCTCGTCGTCGTCGAACTCGTCGAGCTCCACCTGGATCTCGACGTCGAGCTGGATGGCGCGGTCCACGACCGCACCGAGGATCGCCTCGGACAGTTCGGCGCAGTACTCGCTGACGTGCAGAATGTTGCGCACGTACACCAGCTGGTCGGAGCGATGCACCATCTTGTGCGGCATGAACTGCACCAGCAGCGGACCCAGCACGCCGGGGAGCGTGGGAACGACGCTGAGCAGCGAGCGGATGAGCACGTGCACGCGCTCGTACACTTGCTTGCGCTTGAGCGTCGAGGCGGACCGCTTGCCGGACTCGTCGGCAAACTGGTACGGCAGCCACTCGAGGCGGTACGAGAGCGCCTTGGTCGCCTTGGTGAGGATGACGGACAGCCACTCGCTGCGCGCGCTCACGAGGCTGCAGACGAACTTGATCCACATCTGCGCAAACGCCTCGTCCATCGACGTCCACGGCAGCGCAAAGATGCTCTCGACGAGCTTGGTGTGCGAGCGGTCCAGGTCCGACACCACGTGCGAGAGCGCGGCGAGCAGCGAGCGCAGCGACGAGACCGAGGCGCCCGATCGGCCGGTGGACGGCTCGGCGAACTGCACGAGCAGTTCGATGTACGGGCCGGTGTTGCCCTTTTCCTTTTCGGAGAGCGCGTTGATGACGAAGCTGAGGTACATGCCCTGATAGCTGGTGGAGGAGGAGCTCATCGAGGTGATGGCCGCCATGCTGCCTGGTGGCGGCGCCTTCTTGGAGAGGCTGGAGCGCAGCGGCTTGAGTGGCGTGACGGGCGAGGGGGAGGACGAGTCGGACTCGTCCGAGGGCGGACTTCTTCGCTTGGAAGGCGATCGCTCGGCATCTGCGCCGTAGAGGCTGGAGTGAGAGGGCCTCTTCATGCTGAACTTTGTTTTCGAGGCGGAGGAGCTGCTGCTGCCGGTAGAGCGAGGGTGTGCCGGTGCGACAGACGGCATCACAACAGCGCCTCGGCGGTGTGGCGAGGGTGCGAGGCGGATTCAAAGGAAAGTCTGGTTGCTGATAACTTCGGCGAATGCTTGATCTGGTGAGAGGGTGGTGCAGCGGAGCTCGGTGGCGGTTGCTGAGACCAGGGTGCACGGCCGGCAAGGAACGCTCTAGGAGCTGTGGACCATCGTGTCGCGGAGGGGGGGGGGGTCCGTAGGCCAGGCGGGCTGCGGGGAGGACGACTTGATGGTCTAGCTGATATCGATTGTTGCCGTTGCCGTTGCCGGTGATGGTGAGAAGATGGAAACGGGACGAGCTCGGCCCACTCCATCGAGCGTCGGCGTCGAGCATTGAACAGCGCGACTGAGCGGGCGCGCCGGTGCGAATTTTGTCGTATCGTTCCTTTTGGTCGCTTCAGGCGCGCTATCTCTGCACCTCTGTCTGGCCTTTCCAATGTGTGGATTCCTGGCTCGCACGACCCGCGGCCATACGCCATCCCGCCCACAACCAGTCGGAAAAAAAAAAAGAAAAAGAAAGTGGCGTGCATGCGAGTGGAGCTGAATTTCCTCCGCATTTTTTTTTT